TCCAATGGCCACCGCGGCCGGCGCGCTGCGGCCGGCGTACCACGCTATCTGATGGCAGGAGCCAGGTACTTATCCTTGTCTCCCATGGGGTGCAGGGCCCAAGGACTTGGGCAATCCTGCACTGCACTCCCTGGCCACAGCAGAGATCTGGCCAGAAAGAGGGGCTACCGGGACAGAATCTGGCGCCCCGACAAGGGCTAGAACCCAGTGAGCTGGCGCTGCAAGGCAGAGGATTATCCTAGTGAGCCGTGGCGCCGGCCTTGTTTAGGTTTTCTATATCTTCATGGTTCAATTTAGGTAGGTTGCATGTGTCCAGGAATCTACCCATTTCTGATAGATTTCCCTGTTTGCTGGCATACAACTCTTTGTAGTAATTTCTGATGACTCTTTTTATTTCTATGGTGTCTGTTGTTACGTTTCCTTTTTCATCTCTGATTTTATTGATTTGGGTCTTTACTCTTCTTTTTTTAGTTAGCTGGGCCAATGTTATGTCAATTTTGTGTATTTTTTCAAAAAAACAGCTCCTCGTTTGGCTGATTTTTTGCTAATGTTTTCTTGGTTTCAATCCTGTTGATTTCTTCTCTGATTTTAAGTATTCCTCTTCTCCTGCTAGTTTTGGGTCTGGTTTGCTGCAGTTTTTCTAGATCCTTGAGATGCACTGAAAGCTCATTTATTTGGTGCCTTTCCAATTTCTTGATGTAGGCACCTATTGCTATAAACTTTCCTCTTACACTGCTTTTCCTGTATCCCATAAGTTTTGATATGTTGTGCTGTTGTCCTCATTTACTTCCAGAAAGTTTTTGATTTCTCTTTTGATTTCTTCTATGACCCAGTGTTCATTCAGGAGCATGTTGTTCAATACCCATGTGTTTGCATATGCTCTAGGGATTCCTGAGTTGCTAATTTCCAACTTCATTCCACTGTGGTCTGAGAAGCTGCATCGTATGATTCTAATTCTTTTGAATTTGCTGAGACTTGCTTTATGGCCTAGTATGTAGTCAATCCTAGAGAAGGTTCCATGTGCTGCTGAGCAGAATGTAAATTCTTTAAGTGTAGGATGAGAAGTTCTGTAGATATCTGTTACATCCATTTTGACTATAGTGTCATTTAAATCTACTGTTTCCTTGTTGATCTTCTGTCCAGTTGATCTGTCTTTCTGAGAGTGGAGTATTGAAGTCCCCCACTACTATTGCATTGGAGTCTAAGTCTCCCTTTAAGTCCCTTAACATATCTTTTAAATAAACCGGTGCCCTGTAATTAGGTGCATATACATTGATAATCGTTATATCTTCCTGTTGAATAGATCCCTTCATCATTATATAGTGCCCCCCTTTGTCTCTCTTAACAGTTTTGTGTTAAAGTTTATTTTGCCTGATATTAAGATGGCTATACCAGCTTTTTTTGGTTTCTGTTGGCATGGAATATCTTTTTCCAGCCTCTCACTTTCAGTCTGCATGCATCTTTGTAGGAAAGATGTGTTTCTTGTAAGCAGCAAATAGATGGGTTTTGTTCCTTAATCCATTCAGCTAGTCTGTGTCTTTTAATTGGAGTGTTGAGGCCATTAACGTTCAATGTGACTATTGATAAGTAGTAACTTTGCCCTGCCATTTTCCCAAAGATATTTTCTAATACATGCTTTGAACTTCGTGTGATCTTTTACTGTGAGGTTTTCTTCATTTACCTTCTTTCATATTCGTGACCATGTTTCTGTTTTTCTGTGCTTCACACATCTTTAAGCATCTTTTGCAGGGCTGGACGGGTGTCAACAAAATCTTTCAATTTCTGTTTGCTGTGAAAGGTCTTTATTTCACCTTCATTCACAAATGAGAGCTTTGCAGGTTATAATATTCTGGGCTGGCAGTTTTTCTCTCTTCGTGCCTGGGCTATGTCTTACCATTCCCTCCTAGCCTGTAGAGTTTCTGATGAGAAGTCTGCTGTGAGTCTAATTGGAGATCCTCTGAGGGTAACCTGGCGTTTCTCTCTTGCACATTTTAGGATCTTTTCTTTATGTTTCACTGTGGTGAGTTTGATTACAATGTGTCATGGTGAGGATCTCTTTTGGTCATGTTTACTGGGGGTTCTATGAGCTTCCTGTACTAGGATGTCTCTGTCCTTCTCCAAACCTGGGAAGTTCTCTGCTAGTATCTCACCAAAAGGCCTTCTAATCCTTTCTCTCTCTCCATGCCTTCAGGAACTCCTAGAACCCGAATGTTGTTTTTTTTAATAGTGTCCTGTAGATTCCCAACAATGTTTTTTAAATTTCTCATGTTCTTCTTTTCTTTGGTTTGACTGTATACTTTCCTGTGCTCTGTCTTCTAAGTTCAATATTCTCTCTTCTGCTTCACTGGCTCTGTTTTTAAGGCTCTCTGATGTGTTTGTCATTTGATCTATTGAATTCTTCATTTCATTTTGATTTCTCTTCACTATCACACTTTCATGTTCTACTAGTTTCTGCATTTCAGTTTGATTCCTCCTTAAGATTTCGTTTTCACGAGAGAGATTTTCTATCCTGTCCAGTAAGGATTTCTGTAGTTCAAAAATTTGTTCTTGAAAACTTCTAAATGTTCTTATCATAAATTTTTTGAAATCCGTATCTTGCATTTCTTCTATCTCATCATCTTCATAATCTTGGATTGGGGTGTCTTGTTCATTTGGGGGGGCGTCATAATGTCTTCCTTGTTCTTGTTTCCTTGGTTTCTGTGTTTGTTGCTTGGCATTGTGGAGATATTCTTTGGTTTCTTCTTCCCTCGCTGTGGTGTTTTTTCTCGTTATACTATGACTGTATTAAGTGGACTGTCTGCTTTTGATGGATCCTTAGAGGCTCCTGATGGGTGTGGCCAGAGAGCTCTGTTTGGTTCTTCAGGGTTAAGGGTGTGCCAAAGCTGACACACCCAGGTTAGGCGTGGTAAATCTTCCTCTCTCTCTCTCTCTCTCTCTCTCTCTCTCTCTCTCTCGATTCAGAAGGGAAGTAATTCCGCACAGCTGAGCGGAATTGAAGGCAGTCAATTTCTGATCTCTGCCTCCTGTGGGTTTAATATTCGTCTGCTCTGTCCCAAGAACCCCACAAAGGGTTTATGCAGTCCTCAGTGTAAGCTCAAATTTCTCTGCCATCTCCCACCGGGTTGCCAAGGTTACCGAGTTTGTGTACTCTCCCGAGAGCACTCATGTCTCCTTGAGTTCTCTCCCACACCTTCAGTTCTTCACAGTCTCAGTTCATTATCTCCACACATTCACCAGGTCCCAACCTCCTGTTATTTCACTCCCCCAGAGTCAGGTTTTTCTGCTTGGCTAATGGCAGGCACAGCCCCTATGTATGTCCAAAACGGCGCCTGCTCTTTGTCTTGCTTGCCCTTGAACGGTGAGTGGAGAGAGAGATTCATGTCCATACTGGTCCATTTTTTTTCCCTCTCTCCTCTAGTTAGCCTGGTGAAATTTCCCCCACGGGACCTCAAGCCTCGTTCCCTCTAGGCTCCTCCTTCCGCTTTCCCGCCGGTGTCTCAGGCGACTGGGGTTTTGGCTCACCTCCCTTTCCACTGCTGGTGCGTAGATTCCATGGCTGGGGTTCCGAGCCATGGGCGGCCGTGCCCTCCACGTGGGTCCACTGTGAACCAGCAGTTCCGGAAGAGTTTCCTCTGCTGTTTCTTCCCTAACTCTTCCTTGAAACTGCAGTATCTCCACTTGTATTAAACTGTCTTTTCCCGGACTGTCAATGTGCTCCCTTCCTATTCCACCATCTTGGGAATATCTTGGTGTGTATATTTTTAAATTGAGGACCTAAATGGAGCCATAAATGGCATTTTTCCTGGAAGAGAACGGTTGACAGGGATGTGTAGAGGCAGTGAGAGTGCATTACATGCATGGATCCCAGGCATTGTGGTTCTGTGTGCGCTTGTGTATACGCACATGTGTGCCTGTTCGTGCTTGTACTGGGGCTTGAGGGTGCTCCGTCACATGTATTCTGTAAAACGTGTGGCAGGTGCAGCTGAGGGGAGACTGAAGCAGCTGAGTCACCTGTCATTCCTTGTCCCCCGTGGTCTCTGTCGTCATGACACCAGGGCCCTGAGCTCTCTGACACAGAGGGCGCCAAACCCATGAGATCGTAGACCCTTGTCCAAGAAAGGTTTTGTGTAGGAGAGCCCCAAAGCATGACTATCTCATCGTCACTGTACACTAAAAATTCCATCTAGGAGTGTGTGCTTCCACAAAGGCAGACATGCCAGCGGTCGCCAAGGAGATGACCTCTTTGCTTTAAGAAACCAACTTCGAGGTCAGTGGTGCACAGGCTGGGTGTACAGATGAGTTGTACTGCGTGCAGGTGGAGTGCAGAGAGAACAGCCAAGCGTGTTCTGCAAGTGAGTGGGAGTGGGAAGATGGGAAGAGCAAGACAAAGAGAATGCCTGCCTCTCCCACAGTGCATGTTCCCAGCACTTTGGCCGCTGCATTCAACAGTTGGGGAAACACTGGAAGCCATGGTTGCAAAGAGATTCCCCAAAAGCAGTGTGAGAAAGTGAGCCTTTTCAAGAAAGTTGTCCAAGCTGCTCTTACGTTAGGAACTTTGGTTTCATGTAGTGCACAGGGGAGCACGAGGAATAGGGAATGCGTTGGAAGCACCCACATCAATAGGGTAAGGTGAGCGTGTGTCACATGCCCTCCCCTGGGTCGGTCCTCCCATGAAACTTACACTCTGCAAGCCAGTTTAATGTTGTTTGAGAGCTGGGGCAGGGGGGGAGACGCATTTTTGCTTCCAGTGCGGACAGAGTCCCAGAAAGCCTGCTGAAGTCACGTTCGAGTGTCTGGGGCGGAGGCAATGGTGAAAGCTGGAAACATTTTTGAATGCAGGAGAAGGAAGAAAAGATATGTGATATCCACTTTCCCGGGTCGGATTAAGCTATCAGTCCTCCTTCATGGGGTCTTGCATTCTGGAGCTGGGGATGGGAGCAGGTTGAGAAAAGTGCCCCCAGGTCATGGGTTTAATTTCCTATCTCTTTGGCACCTTACAGATCAGCCACTGAAAGGGAGCCAGTGCTAGGTCTCCACGGCTGGCCTCATCTGGTCTGTGGAAGGACGGTGTGTTTCACAGCAGGTCAGAGGTCTACTGACAGGCAGCAGCTGGACGTGACAAGCGAGAGCTCCAGCTCCCAGGAGAAGACTCACCGCGACCCACATGACACTGGGTGAGACTCCTCTCTGCTAAAGATCCACCTGCAACCATTCCCTAGTGACATCTGGGGGGTGCGCGGTGCTATTCCCTGCTGCTCATGCTGCAGTCACTTGTGTGATAATGGGATGTCACAGATTCAGGGTGGGTGGCAGAGGATTTTAAGCACCACACAGACCTGCAGGTCTCAGCCCAGGCCCAGTGTGGGCAGCAGCCATTATCGAGTTGCAGGTGATTATGGGGGAAACTCTGCACTCTGTGTGCAAGCTCCTGAACATGGCTCTGTGCTGGTACCCAGCGTCTGTGCCTAGGGGTTGGCCTCTGGCTTCCGGTGGTGGACAGGGCCGCATTGGCACCTCAGGAAGGAAAAGAAGGAAGCCTTCCCCTTGGTCGAAGCTTGAGGAGCCCTGAAGCCACACTGTGACCAATTAGGAAAAGGGAACCCCGACACTTCAGCCACCCACCCAGTCGGGTGCTCTTCCGTGTGCCACTAAGATGAGTTTGGGGAGCACTGTGGTGTTTGGTCGCTACTCTGACACCTCCCCTCTCTTTTCCCAGAAACTTGCCCTCCCTCTGCCCCCTGTCTGAGACGCACTCCCCTTCCTTCCCTACGGTAGCTCCCCTCGGCCTCATGGAGCAGGTGCTTCCACTTCCACATTATGATTGCGTTCTGATAGACTGCTTGGTTTCTTTCTCCGTGTTGCAGTGTGCTCCACGATCATCCTGGACAGCTCGAGTCCAGGCCTCTCGGGAGGACTCGCGGGGAGGAGCACAGCCCCCACCTGCTGTGTACCCTTTGCAGTCCTTTGGCAAAGGAAATCGGGCCCAGAACAGCGGCGGCAACAGCAGCCAGACGCCGAGGCCGCTTCTGAATTCCTCTTGGTGTGAGGCACTCGAGTCGCAATGGTTGCCAAGTACATCCTGTGTGACTGGCGGGGCCACTTATGGCCAGCAAAGGTTTTGTCCAGACGCGGCCCCTCAGCAAAAGCTAAGAGGAAGAGGGCGCTGTTACTAGCCGTTCAGATCCTCGGAGTCGATGAAAAAATCAGAGTGAAGAGAGCAGACGTGAAGGCCCTGACCACCTCTGACCTCGAAGCGGTCGCCTTCTCAGCTAGGACAATGCCGAAGGGCAGCATGCCACTGGGCCAGAAGAGGGGCTACAGAAGGGCCCTGAGAGCGGCCTGGGAGATGCTACGCAAGAGAGCAAGCTGGGGCCAAGAACAAAAAGCAAAAGCGCCAAAGGCGCTAGCACCGCCCCAAAAGACCAGACAGAAGCCAGGCTGCCCACTGGCTCGTAAAAGGCATAGGAAGCCGAGAAGGGCCCTGTGGACCAGGCGCAAGAAAAGTAAGAGGCCAGGACCGGAACCAGGGCCGATGCCTTCAGAGAGCGAGGATGCCTTCCTGCTGGGCGAGAAACTGCAGGAGCCCATGAGCGCCGCCCCTCCTGCAGCCGCTGTGCAGACCGAGGCCCCCCACAGCTCCAGTGTGGGCCAGAAGGTCCCGACACTGGCGAGCCCGAGAAAGAGAAAGGCAAAAGAAAAGCCAAAGGGCAAGAGAGGAAAGGCAGGCACCTCGGCAGTCGCATGCCTGACCCCCACGGTCGTGGAGGAGGGTGCTGGTGCCACCCAGGACCAAGGGGTTCCATCTCAGCCCCTTGGGCTACCCCGCGCTGAGCCCAGGGCTGTGTACAGAGAGGCAGAGGACAGCTGCCCAACGACCCAGGCAACGTCCTCAGAGTGCTCCGTGTCCACTGAACGTACAGAGGACTCTGGAGAAGATACCTCAGAGGCAGTCTCACAAGCGGCTAGGGTGCCCTTCAAAGACCGTCTCCCAAAGCTGCGAATTGTCTTCCGTACACCAAAACGAAAAAAGAAGCTCCGGAAAGCAGCCCGTGACAAGGGGTCTCCCAAGAGCCGTGGGAAGACTGGCAAGAAAGGGGGAAAGGGACGAGTCACAGGACTCCTGACTCCCGGGGAGAAGCGCTCCAACAAAAAGCAAAGGCTGGTTGACAAAGGACCAGCCAAGGTCCCTAGAAAGGCTGGCAGGAAGGAGGAAGAGGGACCAGCCACAAGCGACACGGCTCTCCAGGAGACGCGTGCCACCAAAAAGCGAAGGCTGGATGAGAAAACACGTCCCGAGATCCGTGGGACATACAAGAAAGGGGAAGAGGAGCCGTCCACCAGCTCTGCAGCTCCCCGGGCGACACCCCGCATCAAAAAAGGAAGGCCGCCCCGCAAACGACCACGAAAGATCCCTGGCAAGGCGGGCAGGAATGAGGAAGATGAGCTAGCCAGTATGTTCATGGCTCTCCACATGTCGCCCCCCACCGAAACGCAGCAGCTGGTTAACAAACCACTCTCCAAGGTCCCTCGGAAGGGTGGCAGGAGAGCAGAGGAGGGAGCACCCACCACCCTCGTGACTCTCCAAGATACACAGCCCGCTGAAAAGCCAAGGCTGGAAGACATAGAACCACCCAAGATCTCTGGGGAGCCCTACAGGAAAGAAGAAGGCCCACATGCTAGCATCGTGACTCACCAGGAGCCGCCCCCCACCGAAAAGCTAAGGCTGGCTGACGAAGGACTGCCCAAGGTCCACGAGAAGTCTGACAGGAAAGGGGAGGAGGGAGCACCCAGCAGCTTCGTGGCTCCCCAGGAGATGGACTCCATTGAAAAGGCAAGGCTGGTTGACAAAGAACCGCCCAGTATCCATTGCAAAACTGACAGTAAAGGGGAAGAGGAGCCATCCACAAGCTTTGCAGCTTCCCAGGAGACACCCCCCATCGACACGGGAAGGCTCGATGACAAAGAAATGTCCGTGGTCCCTCAGAAGGGTTACAGGGAAGAGGAAGAGCAACCAGCCATTCGCATCATGACTCTTCAAGATACACAGTCCACCGAAAATGGAAGGCTGTTTGACAAAGGACCAACCAAGGTGCCTGAGAAACCTGACAAGAAACAGGAAGAGGGACCAGCCACAAGTACCATCGCTATCCAAGTGACACTTCCCACCCAAAAGCAAAGGTTGGAGGACAAAGTACTTCCCAAGATCCATTGGACTTACAAGAAAGGGGGAGAGGAGCCATCCACCAGCTTTCCAGCTCCCCAGGAAATGCCCCTACTTGAAACAGGAAGGCTGGAGGACAGACAACTTTGCAAGATCCCTGGCCAAGCTGCCCGGAATGAGGACGACAAACTATCCACTATGCTCATGACTCTCCACCTCTCGCCCCCCACCGAAATGCAACGGCTGCTTGACAAACCACTGTCCAATGTCCCCCAGGAGCGTGGCAGGAAAGAAGGAGAGGGACAAGCCACTATCTTCATGACTCCTCAGGAATTACCCCCCACCGAAAACAAAGGTGGGTTGACAAAGGAATTTCCAAGACCTACAGTACCTACAAGAAATGGGAAGAGGAACCATCCACCAGCTGTGCAGCTCCTCAGGAGAAGCCCCTTATTGAAACAGAAATGCTGGACGACAAACGACAGAAGGGAAGCCTGGTTGACCAAGGACAGCCCAAGATCCATTCTAAGACTGACAGTAAAGGGGACGAGGGATCTTCCACGTGTTTTATGGCTCCCCAGGAGAAGTCCCTCATCAAAACAGGAAGGGTGGTTGACAAAGGACCACCCGGGATCCCTGGAAAGGCTGCCAAGAATGAAAAAGAGGGACCAGCCACTTTGAAACTCTTCAGAACTCCCCAGGATTTGCCTGCCACCAAAAAGCAAATGCCGCTTGACAAACCACTGTCTGAGATCCCTCAGAAGGGTGGCAGCAAAGGGGAAGGGGGACCAGCCACTAGCATCGTGACTCTCCAAGATACATGCCCCACTGAAAAGCAAAAGCTGGAGGACAAAGGATCACCCAAAATCCCTCAGAAACCTGGCAAGAAACAAGAAGATGGAGCAGCCACAAATGTCATGGCTCTCCAAGAGACATGCCCCACCGAAAAGCATAGGCTGGTTGACAAAGGACTTCCCAAGATCCATTGGACTTACAAGAAACGGGAAGAGGGACCACCCACCAGCTTTGCAGCTCTCCTGGAGAAGCCCCTCATGGAAACACAAAGGGTGGACAAAAAAGGACCACCCAGTATTCCTGGGGAGACTGGCAGGAAAGACGAAAAGGGACCAGCCACCATCGTTGTGGCTGCCCAGCAGTTGCTCTCCACCAAAAAGCAACGGCTGGTTGACAGACCACTGCCTAATATCCCTCATAAGGGTGCCAGGAAAGAGGAAGAGGGACTAGGCACTAGCATCGTGGCTCTCCAAGATACACAGCCCACCCAAAAGCAAAGGCTGGTTGACAAAGGACTCCGCAAGAAACCTCAGAAGGCTGGGAAGAAAAAGGAAGAAGGACCAGCTACTAGCACGGTGACTCTCCAGGAGCCATACATTTCTGAGAAGCAAAGGGTGGTGGAAAAATTATTTCCAAAGATCTGCTGGAAGTCCGATGAGGAAGCAGGAGAGGGAGCATCCACCAGGCTTGCAGCTCCCCAGCAGTCGCCCCTCACTGAAACGGGAGGGCTGATTGATAAAGGACCACCCAAGGTCCCTGGGATGAGTGACAGGAAAGAGGAAGAGGGACCAACCACTAGCACTGTGACTCTCCAGGAGTCACACATCGCTGAAAAGCAAAGGTTGGTTGAAAAATTATTTCCCAAGCTCTACTGGAAGTCCGACGGGGAAGCAGGAGAGGGGCCATCCACCAGCTTTGCGGCTCCCCAGGATGTGTCTCCTGCCAAAAAGAGAAGGCTGGTTGAGAAAGGACTGTCCAAGAAGTCTGGCAGGAATGGGGGAGAGGGACCATCCACCAGCCTTGCGGCTCTCCAGGATTCGCCCCCCGCCAACAAGCAAAGGCTGGTGGACAGAGAATCGCCCAAGACCCCTAAGAAGGCTATCAGGAAGGGAGAAAAGGGACCAGCCACACCGAGCCCCATCGGAAAGGGAGCGCTGGTGTGGTTTAAATTTCAGGAGCACCCGTACTGGCCGGCAGTGGTCAAGAGTGTCAGTGAGACAGACAAGACGGCCAGGGTGTTCCTGATTGAGGCCAGCCTGTGTCCAGAAAAGCGCGGCATTCGAGTTCCTCTTGCAAGACTGAAGCACCTGGACTGTGCAGGGAAGGACAAGTTCCTGAAGACAGCCCGGAAGGCGTACCCGGAGGGTGTGAACTGGGTCTTCTCCCTGATCACCCATTACCGAAAACAACTCGGCCGGGGCTCTTTCGTGGGCTCTTTCCTGAACTATTACACCGCCGATGTCAGCTACCGTATCAGGAGAGTCATCCAAGACAGCGAACTGGACATCACCTTCCCCAAAGTGGACTACACCGAACTGGAGGCCCTGGAAGATTCTGAGGAGACCGCCCTGCAAGGGATGCCATCCCACAAGAAAATTCTCCCCGACCGCACGAAGGCTGCGTGGGACCAGAAGCTGGTGGATTTCATCGTGAAGAAGAAGGGGGCCGACGGCCACCTCCTGGCCATCCTGAAGGGCAAGAAGCAGTCCAGGTGGCTAAGGTCATTTCTGAATTCCCACCAGTACGTGGTGTGCGTCGAGACATACCTGGAGGACGAGGACCAGTTGGAACTCGTGACGAAACATCTACAACAAGTCTACGAGCATATAGACCAGAGGTTGCAGGCTCTGGTCAGAGACAAAGTCAAATTCGTGCTGGAAGTCCTCCTGCCAGAAGCAATCATTTGTTCCATTGCTGCCCTCGATGGCCTAGAGTACAAGGACGCAGAAAAGAAATACCTGCAAGGGCCGCCCGTGCATTACCGCGAGAAGGAACTGTTTGACAAAAACAGCTTAAAGAGAGTGAGAAGGAGGCTAGCCTCCACGTGTGCTGCGAGCAGTTCTCTGGGCGCGCCTGGCCCTCAGCACGCAGCCTCCTCGTCATCTCAGTAATCAGGTGGAGCGCCACGTGGGCCCCTGCTCTACCGCAGGTGGACAACATGTGCAGCTGCTTTTGGATCCACCTCTAGCACTTGTGGGGCGCCACACTCATCCACCTTTGTCCTCCACACGCCCTTCACAAGCCCCTCTGCACGCATTTGCCTTGCCGTCCATGCTCGCACGGACAGACTCATCCAGACATTTTCCAAAGAAAAGGCCACGATTGTTCCCAGCATGTCTCTCTGACTGCAAGCAGCATTTCCGGAGAGGATGCATACTCTGATTTACACCGCAAAGCACTGAAACCGTCCGGGATGCAACCACCATCTTTCAGACCCTCGTGCACCTTCTCACAGAAACATCACCTGCGTTTCTCTTGGCGTTAGGCCTAACGCTGAAATGAACGAGTGGGTTCCTTCCCAAGGTAATTCCCGAGGTTTCCCTGCCATGCCTCTTTATGCTTTGCTGTTTCTTTGATTTTTAGAAAATAGCCCTAAGAGCTGAAACTAATGACACAAACGCCTTCCCGCATCTCAGCCCTGCCCTCTGCTACCTTTTCCCGAGGCAATGCCGAGTGGCAGACAGAAAGCCCATCGGGCACCGGCACGCTGTCCACGTGTGAGGGAATAACATCTCGGCGGGCAGGAAGCACTCCACCGCCTCACGCAGGATGGCTCACTGGGCTTACCCGAAATCCTGCCCATGTGGTAGCTCTTCTTCCACAGCTGAAGCGTGTCCCGAGGCACACAGGTTCTCGGCTGACCTCGCGACTGGGGGCGGCTGGACCCTCTTCCTACAGCTGCCTGTCCCGGAGGATGGCGGCCCCGAACCTCCCAGTCACAGGCCCGCCTCTCCACACCTTTGAGTAGCGCCTGGCTGCCCAGGCGTGCTCCTACTCTGCTGGAAATTGCAGGAATCCCAGCACCTTGATCCGGATCCCGGATCCCCGCCCTGGAATCCTCTGCCTGCCACCAACCCAGCTTTACCTCCCAGCTGACTCATTTAGCCAGCCCCGACAGCTTCCCACGGTACGAAGGCAGACCACCGAGTCATACCAGGCTGCTCGAGCAGGGGACAGCTGTGGCTTTTCACCTAAATGCCACCCTTGTTGGGACGTCATGAAGCATGCGCAATTGAAAGGGACATTCCACATCCCGTGGGTTCTTAGACTAACTTAAGCCAAGGCGTTTTGAGAGCAAATGTCAGAAAAGCTGGTTTGTTTCGAAAACTTGGTGCGGAAACCAACATGAAGGACTTAAGTTGAACTTTACTGTGTTTGCTGTGTGTAGTTCTTACAGGGAGCCAGCTGTTCTCATGGAGACTGGTATCCATTCACGTGACGGTGTGGTATTGTCAGATTTGCAGAGTGTTTGCAACCACAATGTGTCTTAACCTAATATATGCTCCCTTGTGCTTTAGATTGTACAACATAGATGGAGTGTTTGTGAAAAAACTCACATGCACACACACCCAAAGAAAGTATAGTTTGGGAACCATAATGGTTGCTGTTGTCATGTTTGACTGCCCATTCTGAATTTTCTCCTCATTCTAAATCAGTTTTCTTTCATGCTTCGTTTTGGAAGAGCTCCTTCTAAGCTGTATCAGGCCGGACTAGGGAATGTGCAGTGTGGCAGACAAAATCACATCCACTGCCACAAGTCCTGGTATCCATCTTTAGAATCTGTGCATGTTACTTCACAGAGCTGTGGGGATCTTCCAGATGTATTTAAAGACCTTGAGATGGAGCGGTTACCTTTGGTTATCCAAGTGGACCCAAAGTAGTCTCGAAGATCCTTACATAGGAAGGTATAGATCAGAGTAATAGAAGCTGTGCTGATGAAAGCAGAGTCAGAGACTTGAAGATGCTTATACTACTGACTTAGTCATAAAGACACAAAAATGGTCTGCAGGCCAAAAAGTGCAGGTAGACTGTGGAAGTTGCAAAAAACAAGGGGATGTTTTTTTTCTAGAGCCTCCAGAAAGAACATGACTCTGTTGACACTTGGATTTTAGTGAGAACTTTCCCAGACTCTGACCCCTGGAATGGTTGGAGAAACAATTTGTATTACTAGTACACTACATTTGTGGTAATTTGTTATGGCAGCCTTAAGAAGCTAATACAACTGAAAAATGTACAGTTTCATTGCTAGGGATAGCTGTGTTCTGGAAGCTTGGGTGCTGATAACGGCGTTCTAATGCCGGGGTGTTGTAGGAGGACTCACAGGGCACTGAGAAAGAGTCTGGCGCTGACATGGGCCAGCATAGAGTGTGAACCAGCTTCCCAAGAACAAAGCAAGAGTCCACAGACTAGGCTTGTTTTTCAAATATATTACTTATTTTTTTGAAAGGCTGAGTTACAGACAGAAAGAGAGAGAGGGAGAGAGAGAGAGGGAGGGAGAGAGAGAGAGAGAGGCAGAGAGAGATCTTCCATGCACTAGTTCACTCCCCTAAATGGCCGCAGTCTCTGGAATTGGGCCGATCAGGAGCAAGGAGCCGCTTCCGGGTCTCCCAAGTGGGTGCGGAGACCCACATACATGGACCACCTTCTGCTTCCTTCCCAGGGGTACCAGTGGAGAGCTGGATCAGAAGTGGAGCATCTGGGACTCAAACTGCACCCACATGGGGTGTCAGCACCGCATGTGGTGGGCTTATCCACTACTCTACCTCACCGGCCCCAACTGGGTTATTTCTGAACTAAGTTCAAATCCAAGCTCCACCACTTAGTATCCATTTGACCTGGGCAAGTTGTGACACCTCTCTGAATACCGCTTTCCTTCTCTGTAAAGTGGGAATGTTGGTACCTTCTAAGGTGGTCATTAGGATGAATAAATCAAAATAATCACATATCTTTGGCGTAGTACCTAGCACATAAAACTGACAGAAGAGCAAACATACTGATTGTTATCCCCCTGGAATTGAGATGAGGAGCCCCAGGCTGAATAGGTCCCCTCTCCTTCCCCAGATCAGATGCAGAATGAGCTCCGAGTACATGCCTTGGTGGGTGTAGGCAGGAAATATGTTTGGAGTAAGTGGCTGCAGCTTGGGGACAGCAAATCTGGACGGGGGGGGAGGAGGCAGTTGTCCATCAGTCATGTTCTTCACAGCCCTGCAAATGGAGGGGAGCATCAGACTGAGACTTCATGTTAGCCAAGGCACCCATCTCTCTCCTTAACATCGCCGTTTATGCAGGTATTTGGTGCTGAAGCTCCTCTGCCATGTTGAGATTAGAGTGGATTTAGAGATTTCTGGAGCAGCCACAGCAAGTCCAGGGAATAGGTGTTCCCTTCTCTGTCTGACCCAAGAGTCCAGGGAGGCCTGCACAAACGTGCAGCTCTCCTCACAGGAACTTGAAGCAAAGTCTCCGTTGCTGGGGCATGGCTATAAACTCTGTTGGTCTAATCATGCAATCCAGATTGAAATGCAAAATTGCAGTACTAGATGATTAGATGGGTTCAGAGTCTGTTAACTCACGTCACCATAGGTCCTGGGATTGTCAGTACTATGCCCCTTCAAGGTCATTAGTGGACAGATTCCTCTCATTCTTCTGCTACCTAACTCAGTGACCCCCTGTGTCCTTGCTTCCTTCATGATGACAGGATGACTACTGTAGTCCTTTTGACACATACATCTGACAATGTCTGTATGATGAAGGAGGAACAAGAACCCTTCCACCAACACATGCCCCCATGTCTCACATTCCAGGCCTTTTATGGAGACCAAAAAGAGCACGCACATAATATATAAGACCATATTGGCCCTGAAAAATTGCAACTGCTTTTTTTATAGGTAACTTATCTAAAGTCAGACGGCTAATAAAGTCCTTTTTATTCTGAAGATGTATTTATTGAAAGGCAGAGTCAGAGAGGGAGGGAGGAGGGAGGCAGAGAGAGAGAGAGAGAGAGAGAGAATGATATATTGCCATCTGAATGGCTACAATGGCTGGGACTGGTCCACACTGAAGCCAGGAGCCCAGAGCTTCTGGGTCACCCACATGGGTGGCAGGGTCCCAAGTACTCAAGCCATCCCCCACTGCTTTTTCCAGCCACATTAGCAGGGAGCTGGATCAGAAGTGTAACAGCTTGGATGCGAAAGTGGCACTCATGGGATGCCAGTGTCACAAGTGTGACTTATCCCACTGCATCAGAACGCTGGACCCCCTATTGTACTTTATATAAGGTTTCAAACCAGTCAGTGTTGTGGTACAGCAGGTTAACCACTGCTTGCAATGCCTGCATCCCCATATGAGTGCCAATTTGAACCCTGGTTGCTCGATTCCAATCCAGCTCCCTGATAATATACCTGGGAAAGCAGCAGTTGATGGCCCAGGTGCTTGGGCCCCTGCCACCATATGGGAGACCAGGATGGAGTTTCAGGGTCCTGGCTTCAGCCTGGGCCAGGCCCAGCTGTTGTAACTGTTTGGGTAGTGAAGCAGCAGATGGAAGATGTCTTTCTCTCTTTCTCCATTTCTCTCTCTCCCTCCCTTTCTCCCTCTCTCTCTCTCTCTCCCTCTCTTTCTCTCTGCCTCTCTCTCTCCCCTCCCTCCCTCCCTCCCTTCCCCCTTAGTGTGAATATCTATTGATGCTAAATCTGGCTTGAAGATTAAGTGGAGGAATGATAACCATTCACAGGACTTTTCTCTAGTGTGTGTCTTCTGGCGCTGCATCAGGGACGTATTCTGGCTAAAGCCTTTCTCATATTTCCTACATTGATGGGATTTCTCCCTGGTGTGTGTTCTCAGACGTTTGTTCAGGTGTGAGCTCTGGCTGAAGGCTTTTCCGCATTCTTTACGTCTGTGAGGTTTCTCTCCAATGTGAATTTCCTGATGTTCAAGAAGATGTGTACTTCAGCTAAAGGCCTTCCCTCACACTTTGCATTCATTCATTCAGCTTTTCCCCCGTGTGTGTTCCCTGATGCTGAATAAGCCCCGAGGGACCACTACAGACTTTCCCGCACTCGCCTCACTTACGTGGTTTCTCTCCTTATGAACAAAAGATATCTGGAAAGGATGAGATATCAGTGAAGGCCTTCCCACAATCGTCGCTTTAATAGGGCCTCTCTCCAGTGTGGATCCTGCGATGCTGGCTCAGGTGTGTGCTGGGGCAGAAGGCCTTCCCGCACACAAGGCACTCGTAGGGCGTCCCCCCAGAGTGGACGGCATGTGCTGGGTCAGGTGCATGCTGTGGTGAAGTCACTTCTTCCCTGCATGGGTCCTCAGGGGCTGGCTAAGGGACAAGCTCTGGCTGGAGGCCTTCCCACAGAGACTGCTCTCATAGGCCTTCTCTGCAGTGTGGATCTGCTGGTGGTCAAGGAGGTGAGCTCTAAGTAAATGCTTTCCCACACCCATTGCATTCATACAGCTTCTTGCCAGTGTGAATGCACAGTGCTCAAGCAAGCGTATGGCCCGGCTGACAGCTCTTCCACACTCATTGCTTCAGAAGAATTTCTCTCGGTGTGAGTGGCCTGATAGTCAATGAGCAGTGAGCTCTGGCTGAAGACCTTCTCACCCTCACTGCATTTAAAGGGCTTCTCTCCTATATGAAATCTCGGCTGTCTGATCAAGGATGAGTTCTGGCTGAAGGCCTTCCACACTCGTGGCAGACATGGGGTTTCTCTCTGGTATGAGTTCTGTTGTGCTACACAAGCCCCGAAGGGCCATGGCAGCCTCTCCCCCAGTCAGACATGTAGAGGATTTCTCTCCTCTGTGAATATGTGGACGAGTGAGTGAGGAAGCATCTTTGAAGGCGCTCGCACACTCATGGTGCCCGTAGGGCTTCTCACCAGTGTGGGTCCTGCGAATGCAGGCTCAGGGGTGTGTGTGGTGGAGGCCTTCCGCACTCGAGGCACTCATAATGCTTCTCCCCAGCGTGGATATGCGTGTGCTGGGTCAGGTGCATGCTGTTTGTGAAGGCCTTCCCACACTCACTGCACTCGTAAGGCAATCTGTGTGGATTCTCTGGTGCTCAATGAGCAATGAGCTCTGACTGAAGGCTTTCTCACACTCATTGTATGGTAAAGGGCTTCTCTCCTGTATGAGACTTCTGATGCTTTCTAAGTGACAGCCCTAGTTGAAGGCCTTCTTATAGTCCTTGCATGTAAAAGGCTTTTCTCTAGTGTGAATCCTATGATGCCTAACGAATGTGCAGTTGTTAGGAGAGGACTTCCTATGGTCATACACTGCCAAGATGTCTTTTCTACACACAAACCCTGCTGAGTAATCCTTCAGCTCTAAACGTGGGGTCAGGCCTCCTACATGACTGCCACAGGTAAGAAGACTCTCTCCTGTAGGAATTAACTGCTGTGAAACCAGGATTGACTGCAGACTGAAGCTTCCCTCAAAAGCACTGCATTCATCTGGGCACAGTTTCTCCTGTGCGATCCTGCTGCTTGTTCCCCATGTCTCTCTAAGTGGCCCTCACATCCCAAGTCTCATGCGACATGGAGTTCCAGTGACCATTTCAGCCATTCTTTCTGTGGTCGATCCTTGGTATGAGCCTTCAGAAACTTCCTGCTGGGAAACTGGACTCCTTAGTCTCACGTCTGGTGACCCAATCTGAAAGCAAATACAAAGGTGAGAGTTGGGCCAGGACAGTGCAATGGGAAGCATTGACTCCAGAGCATTCATGCTGTCAACAGGCAGGCAGATGATGGGCAGGTGTCACAAGCAGTAAACGCCAAGGAGAGTCTGGCCAGGTCACAGGGCAGCTGGGAAATACAGGGACGGGCAAGGCTACAGAGAAAGGCGGAAGATGACAGGGCACAATAGAAGATGATCCCAGGCCAGCTTCTTCCCTTCCAGTGTCTCCCTGTCCCAATCGATCCTGTGTATTTGTCAGTTTAGAAAACTAACACCTCAGAGGTAGAGGTAGAATTTTCATCTCTTACTGTGTTTTTTTTTTTTTTTAGTGAATTTTGTCTTTTATAAAAGGAGTGCGCAGAAAAAAAGAAAGGTGTTTTGACTTTGCTGATAAAGATTTTGGAACATGATTTGTAATAGTGTAATGATAATATCTGGACGAAAGACAGGGAATTGATCTCTGAATTTTTTTAAAGTGTGTTTTACAGGACAATCCTTAAGCTAATAAAAATTAGATTTTGAATGGGCTGAAGAAGAAAATAACACTGGCCAATCAAATACTATGCTACTTGGACTATATATAGGGCAGAAAAATAGTGCCCAGTTATTTTCTAGTAACAAGATGAGAGGAATAGTTCAAGGCCCATCTTTAGCCTTCATCTGCCTACATACCAATACGTAAAGTAATGGGGACAAGACAGTTGCACTAAAACTGCTT